CCGGGTCCGGCAGCGTCGCCCTGGCAGAGACCGCAGCCTTGAGGACAAGTTCTCGTTGGCTCCCTGTGCCCTTCGTTGACACCCCTACCTCTCCCACCCCCTCAGTCTCCTCTGATGTTTCAAAATGTATTAACTACCAGAAAAAAATGTTAAGCCCGGCCATTTGACAGTTTGTGTCCTCTCGAGGCTGAGATGAGCTGGGGGGCTGTTTTAGACGCCCCCTCCCCACACACCCCTCCAGAAGGAATGGGGGTTCTTGTTCCAGACACCTGGCCTGCCACGAAGACTCAGGGCTGGGCAGGGCCCATGGGCTCTGCACACCCTCCTTGGCGTCCTGTGTCACCTGAGGGCCCTGCTGCCTGCACCCCCAGACCCTCCAGGGGCTCGTCCTGATGCGACTGGGGTCTCCCCTGGAGAGCTGGCGAGTCGTTTTCACTCCCCCTCTGGCCAGGGGCCTGCCAGGGGGGTCCATGGTCGTGGGGGCTGGAGGGGACTGGCTTCATGATGCTATGTCGGGGGGTCTGCACTGCAGTGGCTGGGATGTCAGACTGGGGGTGCAGACCCCAAGGCAGGTGGGAGGCCCCAGGCATGCACCCCGCCAGCCCTTCGGCTTCGGTGCCTTCTTACGTTTGTGCGGCGGTGCCCCCACGGCCCGGGCAGGTGCCAGCAGCCGCTGGCGGGGAGGAGCAGCGCCCGTCACGGGCAGCATGCGCCTCAGCACTGTGGCTCCCTGTTCTGCAAGCCGATGCCGAGGTCAGACGCCCCGACCTGTGGCTGAAACCTGTTTTCAGGGTTGGCGAACATTTCAAGTGCTTGCAAGGCCTCTGAAGGCTGCAGCCACGTGTGGCCTCCTGGCCAGGCCACCAGAGCCCTGGATGGTGGGGGCAGGCTGAGGGTGGGGGCTGCTCAGTGCGAACCCCCGGCTGTTACCTCAGCTTACAGACGGGGAACAGCCCAGAGGGGCTGAGTGACCTGCCTCGGTTGCACAGCAAGGAGGTGGCCGAACAGCATTTGAACGCGGGCATTTGGCTGGAGTCCGGGCTGCTAACGGCTGTGTGTGTGCTAACGGCTTGTGACCGGACCCTGCAAGCCAGGGCCTGAGCCGTCACCATCACAGTGGCGGCGTGGCTTTCAGACCTCGGGTCCCAGACCACGGCTTCACACGTCCGCCCAGGGCCTGGTTGGCACGTGCCGCTTAGGATGACGTGTTTCTAGATTTGATTTCTTGAGCATGCCCTGGGCTCTTCGCTGCCTCGGAAGGAGGGTGCCGGTTGTGCACTGCCCAAGCCCACCCACCCCGGGCATCAAGTCCCTTAAGACACCTCTCGAGGAGCCGCCTGTGAAGCCACTTAAGGGAGGGGCAGGGGGGGACTTGTGGCCTGACGGGGGGCTGGGAGGCATTGGTCGGGGCAGGGAAAGGCCAAGTTCCATGCCGGGGCCTCACTTGCACCCCTGTGCCCGCAGGAGTGGCTGAGCAGGTTCGGCTACCTGTCCCCACCGAACCTGGCAACCGGGCAGCTACAGACGCAGGAGGAGCTGTCCAAGGCCGTCGCCGCCATGCAGCGCTTTGGGGGCCTGGAGGCCACCGGAGTGCTGGGTCAGTCCTCCGGGGGCAGCTGGAGATGTGCTCCCCAAGCCCGACCTCCGAAAGCCTGGTTGCCCCCTCCGGCCTGCCCGTGGGGTGCGGGGGGGCGGGCCTGCTGTCCCTGGGGCAGGACCACAGATTCCCGCCAGCGGGAGCCCCTCGTGGTCACCCTCGGCTCCCCCAGGTGTGGGCACGGCAGAGGCAACTGAGTGCCAGCCGTGTCAGGCCCCGTCTCCACTGGACAGCAGGGGCTTGAACTGCACTCACGGGGCCAGGCGGCCACCCAGGGCCCGGCCTGGTCCTGCCCTACAGAGTGCCAGCCTGTGCCGCCCAAACCCCCAGCTTTCCAGGAAGCCAGAAATCAGGGCTTTATGTGAGCACCCCACTTTCCAAATGTTGGCAAGGAATGTCAATTTTGTCAAGACCGTCTTCAGGGCTGGCTAAGAGACACATCTGTCCCAGGCCTCAGGGGAGACACGTGTGTGTCACATGAAGTGCAGGCGGCACTGGCAGCCCTGTCCTAGTGGTGCCCCGTAGCTGGAGGCCTGGGCCTCAAACCCCCCACCCCAGACCTGGTGCGGGAGCCGAAGGACAGCCCTCGGGCTGCTGGGGACCCCAGGTCGGGGGTGAGCTGGGCCTGGCTCCTCACCCCCGCCCGCCCCTGCAGATGAAGCCACCCTGGCGCTGATGAGGACCCCACGCTGCTCCCTCCCTGACCTCCCAGCCGGGGCCCCAGCTCGAAGGCGGCGCCAGGCCGCTGCCCCCGCCAAGTGGAACAAGAGGAACCTGTCGTGGAGGTGGGGGAGGGCGCCGCCTGGCCCCTCGCAGACTCAGTGGGGGGCTGCCTGAGCAGACCCCGGGTGCAGGGGCCCCAGGTCCCGGTGGTGCCACCGCAGCCCTCAGCTCAATCACGTCTGCAAACTATTCCCAAATCGTGTCCCAGTGCCCGACCCCGGGAAGGACGCTCCAGGGGGGACGCCGTGGCCTGGGGGGCACACGGCCTGTCCCCGTGATCGGCCCCTCCCCCTCCCACCGGCCCAGGGTCCGAACCTTCCCACGGGACTCGCCCCTGGGCCGCGACACCGTGCGGGCACTCATGCACTACGCGCTCAAGGTCTGGAGCGACATCGCGCCCCTGGACTTCCACGAGGTGGCAGGCAGCACCGCCGACATCCAGATAGACTTCTCCAAGGCCGACCATGCTGACCGCTACCCCTTTGACGGCCCGGGTGGCACGGTGGCCCACGCCTTCCTCCCCGGTGACCGCCCCACCGCAGGGGACGCCCACTTCGACGATGACGAGGCCTGGACCTTCCGCTCCGCAGGTGCGTCGGGGCTAAGGCCGAGCCCGGGGACCCCAGCAGACCCCGTGACGTCACGGGCAGCCACACCGACCCCATAAAGATGAAGGGACCGCTAGCGGTGCAGACTGCGGTGCCTGTGTGTCAGCTCACGAGGACGGGCGGGCGCTCCTAGCTAGGCTGGTCCCACTCCGCCATCTCTGGCAGGGACACCCGCCTGGCCAGTCTTAGCCGGGCTCACAGGCCTGGGACGACGGGTGACACCACTGTGTGTGCTTCCTCTGGCTGAGCCCGGCTCGTCCTCGTCCTTGTCCCCACCTCCAGACGGGCCTGGGCACCTCGTCACTTCTGCCACGTCCTGCTGGCAGAGAGGTCACAGGCCCGGCTTCTGGGGGACCAGGGCAGAGCCCCGTGACACAGGGTGCGAAGGTGAGGGGCGGCGGGGCCATGTGGAGTCGGTTCACACAGTGGCCTGTAGCACCGTGAGCCGATGACGGGAGCCCCGGCCATCGGTGGGGCACGGCGACCCTACCCCAGCCAGCACAGAGAGGTTGTCGACCCCCACCATGAGTGACTTGTAGTTGGGGGACACTGAAGGACTTTGGTGACCCCATGGGGCCGTGGTCGGAGCCCAGATGGCCCCTGAGGGACCACAGAACCAGTGGCTCACTGGCTCACCACGTCCCCAGATGCCCACGGCATGGACCTGTTTGCGGTGGCCGTCCATGAGTTTGGCCACGCCATCGGGCTGAGCCACGTGGCAGCCCCACACTCCATCATGCGGCCCTACTACCAGGGCCCGGTGGGCGACCCTCTGCACTACAGGCTCCCCTACGAGGACCGGGTGCGCGTCTGGCAGCTGTACGGTGAGTGGCCCTGAGGGTGGGGTCACACACTGAGCCCGGGCCCCCCTCCAGCACCCGCTCCTGGGGTTGCCGTGGTGAAATTCACCACTTTGACGGTTTCAGAGCTCACGCTCCAATGACCCTCAGCACAGCTACGACGTTGTGCAGCCAGGGCCTCCGTCTGGTTCCGGGCCTGTCCCGCCCCCCGGCCACCTGAGCAGCCACATCTCCGGCCGCGGTCGGCAACACCCCCGCCCCCACCCCCGCGGTCGCTGTGTCCGTCCCCGAGGGTTTGCCCGTTGTGGACATTTCACGTCAACGGAACCATGCCGCATGAGGCCCTCAGCCCGGCTCCGTGCCTGGAGCGCCCCATTTCAGGGCTGACCACGTCACTGCTCCCGTCCCCTTGAGGGCAGGAGAACTCCCTCTCTCCGTCCGGCGTTGCTGGGCATGTGGATGCCGCCACCATCTGGCCTCGTGACCAAGTGCACATCTTTTGTCCTCTGGGGTCTGCGGCCAGGAGGGGCCGCCGGGAGCGTGGACGCGGTCGGTGTGTCCAGGCCCCGTGGCCCCGCCTCTTCGCTGTCCGTGGGCTGCGAGTCTGGCCTGTCTGTCCACCCTGGGGTCCGGGAAGGGCAGGGGGCTTCGCAGGGCAGGGAGCTGGGCTGCTGGATTCCACGCAGCAACTTGTCTCTGCAGGCGTGCGGGAGTCCGTGTCCCCTACGGCACAGCCGGACACTGAGGAGCCCCCCCTCCTGCCGGAGCCCCCCAACAATCGGTCCAGCACACCGTAAGCTTGGGCCCCTGCCCCCACGCCGTGGCCAGCAGCATCCCCAACACCAGCTCAGCATCCTGAGCACCAGGATGTCCTGAGGAAAACTGTGGGCTGAGCACCAACTGCCGCTGTGTCCCTTAGACCCTGCAGGCTGTGGGGGACAGTTGCTCCCCCAGCCGGGACCTGTGGGGGTGTTGGGGTTCCAAGGGGGGGTTCCTTCCAGCCTCTGCCCTGTCACTTGCTGCTGTGAAACAAGCCCTAATCCCCCAGAGCGTCAAAGCACCACCTCTTCGAAGCCGGGGGAGACCCCGTCGGTGGGACAAGTGTCACAGACCGTGGAGGGCCGTCCCGTCCCCACCCCCGCCTGGCACACCTGCCTGTCACCTCGTGCTCGCGGCATGCGGAATACGAAACCACACACACTTAGGCTCTGCGGCTCTACGTGGTTTCGTCTCTGTGTTCCAGACGGGTCTATGGTTCCCCACTTAGCTGTGGACGTCCCGAATATCCGTCAAGGTCGAAGGCGTCGCTCCAGCTTTTTGATGGTTCTTCATCGCATTTGCTTGTTGAATAAGTGACATGTGCCAACGGTGCAGTTCTAAAGGCGGTCCCCGCCACCAGCCCCACCGCGTGTGCGTGCGTGCACGTGCGTGCACGTCCCCCGAGAGATGCCCCACGGGCACGTGATGCGCACCCACCTGAGCAGTGGGCACACTGTGCGCTGGCTTCTTGCCCTCCACACTCCACGTCGTGCGTCAGGTGGAGGGGCAGAGGTTTTAGGCCCTGACCTTTCACCGTCGCAGTCACGTGGTCTGTGTCCCCTCTGGGGCAGAGCTGCAGCTCGCAGCAGGCCCCCTGGCTCCCACCCACTGCATTTCGTGGGGCGGTGCCCAGTCGGCTTGCAGAGGCCGTGCCGACCGCGTGAGGGCGCCATCGGTCCAAACGCGCCTGACACTGTGTTCGCTTAGGGTTCCATCTTTGCCCACCGGATGGGGGTTCATTCTAACTCGCTTTTCTCTCTCGATGCCACCGTGTGTGTCTCAGAGCTGCAGGCATGGCGTGGGGGCTCCCTCAGGGACAACCCCGCGGTGGCTCAGGATGGGAGGCTGCCCGGCCCAGCGGCTCTCTCTGTCCCCAGGCCCAGAAAGGACGTGCCTCACAGGTGCAGCACGCACTTTGACGCGGTGGCCCAGATCCGCGGCGAGGCCTTTTTCTTCAAAGGTAACCCCGGCGGGGTCTGGGCCATGGGCGGAGCGGTGGCCCTGGGTCCCAGACCCGCCACCAGCAGCCACGCTCCTGTCCTCCCAGGCAAGTACTTCTGGCGGCTGACCCGGGACCGACACCTGGTGTCGCTGCAGCCGGCACAGGTGCACCGCTTCTGGCGGGGCCTGCCGCTGCACCTGGACAGCGTGGACGCCGTGTACGAGCGCACCAGCGACCACAAGATCATCTTCTTCAAAGGTGGCTGCCCCCACCTGGCCACGCTCCAGGCCCCCTGAGCTTGGGTCTGCACAGGAGGCCGGCCCTGTGGTTTGCTCCAAGCACAGGGCTGGAGCGTGTCTGCGCCTGCGTCCAGCAGGCGTGTTTACTGAGCACCTGCTGTGTCCTACCTGTGCCGTGAGGCTCTGCGGGGACACAGGCCAAGACACAAAATCCCTCGCTCTGAGGGGCACACGATTAGCACCCTCAAGTAACGAGGAAATTAATGCCGGCGGATCTCAGGGAACTGTCAGTGCAAAGGCCCCAGGGCAGGAAAGGCCCTGCCGAGTGCAGGGAGGGCACCGTGGCCAGGCCAGCGCGTGGGGCGAGGCAGAGGACAGAAGTGCCCGTCAGCGTGGGAAGAGCGCGGGAAGGGCTGGGTTTAGTCTAAGTGCAGTGGGAACCACGGGCAGGTCCCGTCTCAGTCCAGGATGACAGGTCTCCTGGAGGAGGGACGTCACTCCAGCCTCACAGCCCACTCCTGAGGGGGCTGGGGGAGGCGGGGGAGGTGGTTCCTGCTCCGGGGGAGGTCGCCGTTGGTCTGGGGAGAAGGCTTTCTTCCCTCACATTGTGTGCAGCTGCGTTTTGGGGTGGCAGGGTCTGTGACTCCCTGGACTGCAGCACCCTGCAGCCGTGACCCTTCTCCAGCCCGGCCCCCACACTCACCGGGGGCCCCCACTGATGGCGGAGTCCCCGCCTCCCAGCCTCGCGGTCCAGGCCCAGCTGCAGCCACGGCGGCCTGCACAGCTATGTCTTCTGGGTTTGGGTAATTTCTCGACACGAAAACCAGGAGATTTCCCCGGCAGAGTCCCCTCTGCAGCTTTGAGGCGTCGGGCAGCGTGGCTCCCTGGGGCCTGCACTTAACGCTTGGCAGTGGGACCAGGTTGGCTGCCCCATCCAGGTCACCCCACCCCAGCCCGAGGCCCTTCTGCGTCCGCGTGGCTGCCTGTCAGGGCCTCGTCCCTTCATCCCCCCCGCCCGACTCGCCAAGGTTCAGCTGTTTCCACTCTCGGACAAAGGGTTTTATTTCTTGAGACCGAATATTTAATATTTCCATTAAATTGTGTCAATACGATTTCAAGCAAACGCGAACCGGAAGGACAAGCCGAGGAATCCCGACCGAGGCGCGGCCGCGAGCCAACTTCCGGTCCAGACGCGTGGTCCGCGTGGCCCGGTCAGCGAGTATCCGCCACGTCCTTGACGTTCAGATGCTCCGGACGGTCCCCACTGCTAAAGTCAGTGCCCCAACTGGGACCGACAGGCTGGACGACCAGTTCCTCCAAGATGCCAGGAGGACCGCCCTCTGGGGCAGCGACGCCTGGAGTTTTCGCCGGGGCGGAACTCGGGCGGGCGAGTTCAGCTAGCGCGGCGGCCTGAGCCCCAGCGCCCCCCAGAGCGCAGGCGGGGCTCAGCCTCTGCGGCCACCCCTTCCTTAGGTCCACGAGCAGCAGCTGAAACTGGTTTTCCAGGGTCTGAACAGCCTTTCCCAGCATAGAGTTTCTTAAAATTATTTTTATTTTTAATGGAGGTAAAAAAAAAAAAAAAACGCATAAAAGTTACCCGTTTAAGCACTGTTAAGAGCACAGCTCAGTGGCACTGGGCACGTTCACAGCCGTCACCACCGTCATCTTCAGAACTTTCCGTCTTCCCAAACTGATACTGTCCCCAGTAAACGGTGACTCCTCCTCCCCCGCCCCGGCACCACCTGAGACCCGTCTCCATGAATCCGGCCCCCACGTAAGTCAGGCCACGCGGCTTCCGTAACTGAGTGGAACATCCTCGAGGTTCCTCCACGTTGTAGCAGGTGTCAGAATGTCCCTCCTTTTTAAGGCTGAGTGATACTCCACTGTGTGGGTGGCCCCCATCGTGTGTGTCACCCATGATGGACACTTGGGTGGCTTCTGCCTCTCAGCTGTGGTGACTACCACGTGTGTGCACGTGGCCACGGGCCCAGAGCTGGGGGCCGGTCCCGCGTTCACCCGTGCTGTTTCCCCCGGAGGCTGAGCAGTCGGTGTTCGCCCCAGCACACCCTCACCAGCTGCTGGCATTTTCCACCCTGGTGCTGGCGGCCACCTGCCGGCGTGCGGCGGGCACCGTGGTGGCCTTGGTGCGCCTCGCTCTCACGAGCGGAGGTGACGAGCGGAGGTGTCGAGCGTCCTTCCACGTGACTCTTGGCCACTCGAATATCGTCTTTGGTGAAGCGTCTATTCCTGTCCTCTGTCCAGCAAAGGATTTTTAAGCGTTTTGCTGTTTCTTCCTTTCTTCCTGTAAATCGCAGGCTGGTCGGTGCTGAGCCGGGGGGACCCGAGGACCTCCCGAACCTCGTCCTCGCAGTCACTCTCGTCTGGCAGAGCGCCTGCACGGTCTTCCCGAGCATGGTCGAGGTGCGCCCAGGGCACTCAGGCTGCCGCCTGGGAGTATGACCTCCCCCGTGACATTCTGGGGGATCGCTAAGCATCTTGCCTCCGGGTGGCCTGACAGGCGCGCATGCGCGTCTGCCCAGACCCCGACTCCCCACTCCCGACTCAGCCCCCGCAGAGCCCGGCCCTCCAGCCCGTCCGGCCCAGGCAGCAGAGCTGAGGCGGGACGGTCCCAGCCCCGAGCCCCGTGGGAGCGGACGAGGCGGGATGGTAAAGGCGTCTCCAGGGCGTGAGTCGACTGCGTCTCGCTCCCCCGTCTGCCGAGTGGTCGCCTCCCCTGCCCCGGGTGCTCAGGCTGCCGGCGCGTGGAAGGTGCCCGTGCCAGGCGCAGGGCAGGGGTCGGCCGGCACATAGTAGGTGGTCAGGGACGCAGCAGGTGCTCAGTAACCCCCTGCTGGGACTGGCGGGCGCCGTGACGCGGGTGGTGGCACAGTGGGGCTGGCTGGGGGCAAGCGCGGGCTGAGCCCTGCCGTCTTTCTCTCCCCAGGAGACAGATACTGGGTGTTTAAGGACAATAACGCAGAGGAAGGGTCCCCGCGGCCCGTGTCCGACTTCGGCCTCCCGCCTGGCGGTGTCGATGCTGCCTTCTCCTGGGCCCACAGTGACAAGACTTATTTCTTTAAGGACCAGCTGTACTGGCGCTACGATGAGCACACTCGGCGCATGGACCCCGGCCACCCCGCCCGGAGCCCCCCGTGGACGGGCGTCCCCAGCACGCTGGACGACGCCATGCGCTGGTCCGACGGTGAGGTCCAAGGGCGGGCGGGCCGGTGCAGCTGTGTCCCCGCCTATGAGGTGGGGTCGAGAGGGTGGCCAGAAGGGAGGAGTCCAAACCTGCAAGAGGCACGCGAGGCACCCGAGGCACCCAGGTGCTCGCCGCCCGGATCCTCCAGGGACCGGCCTG